TACTTCGCCCCATTCCCAACGAACTTTCTCCCCAACTCCATCACCACCTCATACCAATCAAGTACACTTAAGACAATCTGACAGACACATCAAGCCTCTTGCTCACCTTGTCCAAGACTACCATTGCTACCTTTCCCAAAAATCTAGCAGTTCTAGTGATTCACTTCAACCAGATTCCTCAGACCATGTATACTCCCTCATCTGTGATTTCCTATGATATACTCACCCCCTTCCATAGAAAAGTTTGTTCTGGAATTTCCTCATACCAAGAACCCAATACATACAAATAAGACTCTCAATCAGAAGAGTGGAACAATGCAATGAAGCAAGAAGTCAATGCCTTAATTCACAATCAAACTTAGGATGTAGTGGAATTTCCCCCAAGCAAGAAACCAATAGACAACAAATGGGTTTATCGTATTAACGTGCATTAAGATGGCTCTTTGGAAAGTTCCAAAGCCAGAGTTGTTGCTAAAGGCAACACTCAACAAGAAGGGGAAGACTATCATGACACTTTTTCCCCAGCGATCAAAATGACTACCATAAGGACTGCCCTAGCAATTGCAGTTCTCACGATTTGGCACATCCATAAGTTGGATGTCAACAATGTCTTCCTCCATGGTGATCTCCAGGAGGAAGTGTATATGACATTGCCAAAGGGATATGACCATCCATTAGGCTTTGTCAATCCTGTATGTCATCTCAGAAAGTTCCTGTATGACTCATACAAGCTTTCAGGTAGTGGTTTTCAAAGCTCACGGATATACTACAACAAGTTGGCTACATCCAAAGTGCGACATATCACTCTTTGTTCTACAAAGCTAATGATTCTAGCTATACTTGCATACTGATCTATGTTGATGATTTGGTTGTTGGTGGTAATGAGCTATTAGCTATTGAAGCTCTTAAAGTTGTTCTTCACCCAGAATTCAACATCAAAGATTTGGGAACATTGAGATTCTTCCTAGGCATGGAAGTTGCCAGGAACAAATAGGGCATTCATTTATCACAAAGAAAGAATGCATTGGAGATCATTGAAGAAGCTAATTTGTTTGATTCTAGACCTGTTTCTACCCCCCAATGGATTATAAGGTTCACCTTAACATAGAATGCGAGGAACCATATAAAGATCTTGAACTTCACAGAATTCTTGTTGGCAAATTGATCTATCTGACTACAACAGGACCTTATATAAGCTTTGCTACACAACAAGTTAGTCAATTCATGGGCAATCCTATCATCACACGTTACAAGGCAGTTCTCAGAATTGTAAGATACTTAAAATCTAATCCTGCTATTGGTATTTTCTTTCACTCTCAAGGTGATATCTAGCTTAAATCCTTCTTCGATTTTGATTGGGCGGCATGTTTTGACACTAGACGCTCAATTACAAAGTACTGTGTGTACTTTGGCAATTCATTGATTTCCTGGAAGAGTAAGATACAACAAACTATTTCTCGATCCTCTTGTGAAGTTGAATACATGGCCTTTGCCTTTTGTGCTTTCAAGATTAAATGGCTCCTCTATCTGCTCCGTTATTTCAAAGTTTCACACCCTCAGCCAGCAAACATCTATTTTTACAATCAAAGTGCCATCTACATCGCCGAAAATCCAACCTTCCACGAGCACACGAAGCACATAAAACTTGATTGCCATCTATTTCGAGAAAAACTATAGCGCAAGGTCCTCAAATTACTTCATGTCTCCTCAGCTCACCAGCTCACCGACCTTTTCACTAAACCACTGTCACCAGCTTCATTCCTCTATCTTCTTTCCAAGCTTGGTGTGCTCAATCTCTGCCCACCGGCTTGCAAGGGGAGTGGGGGTAACAGGAATTGAATCTTGAAATTCAATTCCAACGGTCTATTTCATTCCAGCGGAGAGGATAATGTGGCACCAGTTTCTTCAAAGCAATCCATCTCCTTCAAGCGATGTCATTCTCTCTATTTAGCAGTCTCTTTCACTTAAACTTGCACACTGTCGTTTTTACTCATTCCTTTTCTTCGAGTAACAGGAATTGAATCTTGAAATTCAATTCCAACGGTTTATTTCATTTCAGCAAAGAAGAAGGATAAATGTTGCACCGTTTTCTTCAAAGCAATCCATCTCCTTCAAGTGACGTCGTTCTCGCTAAATAGCAGTCTCTTTCACTTAAGCTTGCACACTGTCATTTTTACTCTTTAGTTTTCTTGGTTTTCTTTTGTCTAAAAAATTGAGTTTGTTTCCAATCCAAGCCAACTGACAAGAGTGTAGTAGCTGGATTGTTTTCTTGTGTTGATCGGCCTTTCTAAGGCTTCAGAGGAATGAGAATGAGTAAGTTCTAGGGTTTTAAACAAACCAAAAGCTTTGTTATGGATCTCCGGCGTATGATGTGTAGTACCGAAAGTAAGAGAAGTGATTATGTTATTGTTCATGTTAATTTTGTAGAAGCCAAATTCCGACAACAAATTCATTAATAGAACATAAAACTAATTAAGTACAGATCAACAGCCAACAAGCTAAATCACTATTGCTAACCACTATGTGCGAATTTCATTTAAGGTGGTAGTAAGCTTAGGGCTAAGGTGGCATGATTTGTTAGTTTTTAGGTTGAGAAGATTTGCACCAGGTTCTTGTAGGGGGGGGGGGATTAAGGAAGCTAGTAAGCTTAGGGCTAACAAGGCATTGAAACATTTGACTTTCCCTAAATCTGGAGGAAGATCAGGTAATAGAGATATGCACGTTTGAAATATTGCCTGTGTTTTTAGGCACATTTGGACTATAATGCTGCAGTTGGGGTCCTGATGGGTAGTTTGGGTAATGACATATAAACTCAAAGGAAGTAATATTTGGAGCTTTTCAAGTAAAATTGGATTATGGAACTGGAAAAATATCTTAAAATAAGAAATCTAGTTCCTAAAATGTTTACTATGCATAATGGTGAGTTGGGTTGAAATTTGCAACATGTGAAGAAGTACTCCATCAAATAGATTTGAGATCTTATTAGACCTAAACAATAAAAAGTGCAGTGGCATAGACTGCTCTAGAAGGGAAAGACTATTTCTCGAAATAGGTTTGTACTTTGGCCGATGGTAAGAGGAAGGATACAAATGAAGAAAAAAGATGAGAAAATGTGTTTTGCATGCCATTTATGTTGTGAAATCTGTATCCATGGATTCAATTATAAATACCATTTATTTGTTGAATGTCCCTATTTCAGGTTTTGTTTGGTAAGAATACCCTGTGTTGCGTTAGGACGATGAGCTAATGTGGGTTGTGAACTGTGGGAAGAAAAGACTAAAGAAGCAACAATGTGTAACCTTATCTCGCAATCCTTAACGAGTGACATATGAAGAGAGCGGTGTAACAGAATGTATGCAGGGGGAGCAAGAGATCAGCCAGTCTTATTGAAGGCAATAAAGTCTGAAGTTGTAGTCTTGTTGAATGAAAATGAGCTGATGAGGTATTGGGTATGAGTAACTTTGTTTGCTTCACTATGTTTGGATTAAACTAGTAGTGTCTAGATGAGTTTGTAAATAACAATTGAGTTTACCTCCCCTAGTTGGCAAGCTTTGTTGCCAACAACACTTCCTTTTGAAGAAATGAGAATTATCTTATTCATAAAAAAGAATGTATAGCCAAAAATTATACATTCTATCCTATCCTAAACCTGAAGCAAGAGGGTGGCATTTAAAAATGGTTGATAATTGAAGGGAGGCGATAAGGATATCCTTAGCAATTATTAGTATTTTATATTTTAATGACTAGAGATAGGTGAAGAATGCATCGGCATCTAATCACTAGTGATTTGGATTGGAGGTTATGTCGGATTCTTTCTTCCTCTTTGGGCTAGAATTTCAACTGTATGACGGTCTGGCAGAGTAACACTACAGGAATGAAGGGAAGGTAATTGAATCTAAACTACTGAATTGTTGTCTTGTATTGTGGCGAAAATGTACGCACTCCAAATCTTATCATAAAACACAAGTTGGGGAAGTGAACCAGACAGACTCGATCTGATCATCATATATCCCCACTGCATTTCTTGTTTTAGTTATGTATGTGTCATGGAGAATTGGGGGCCTATACAATGGTCTCTAGTTCCAGTTTCATCCACCGTATCAGACAACAATTTCGTTTTAGCAACTTAACTTCTTAGAATAAAAGTTATATATTAATTAAACCTTATCAGTTTCGGTTGGGAGGACAAGAAGTTTTTATAATTGTTTGTGAAACTAATATAACGAAATGATAATTATATCTATTCTTTGCATGTCTCAATGCATTTATGGAGTTGGGAAAATAGACATGGCTATTTGGAAAATCATATTTCAAACCGAATTGCGTAGTTTAGTACGGACTGTAGATTGTTAAAAATGGTTTGGGTTTTTATCTAGTTATGAAATGTTTTGTTCTCTTGGTTTAGTATGGTACATACTATGGACCTAACATCCCTGCCCAACGAGACCCAAGTCTCAACTCTATTTGTGCAAATCTCGTATCTTCTTTCTTTCACAGACCACACTCCACGAGAGAGCAGAGACGACTACATCTCCATATGGCATTATGGTTGGTAAAAAGTGTTTATGATGTTTGTTTATTTGGATTTAATGTATCTAATTTAAGTTTCAAGACAAAAAAAGATTCTCGGTTGATTTTTAGCATGACGGATCAAACAAGCGGTTCAATTTTTATTCGAAATAATTTATCTTACTCGTACTATACCAAATGAAATTTTTGTACAAACATTGTCTCTAACCGCGTAGTATTTGATTTGGTTCATAATCTCTATTACAACTCCTTCAATTTATATGCTTTGGTATGTACCAGATGCACCTTTTCCCAACTTATTTCCATCTCCTCGCCAATATAGTATAGTATGGGTTAAAAATGGACAAATGTACCAATATTTAGTTGAGTCACAATAATTGGTCGGTTGGGCTAGCTGGTGGGTTGGTCGGTTGGCTTTGACAGGAGTAACCAGTAACCAGCCAGTGCCCAGTAGCCCCATCCCAGCTCAACTGTCTTCCACTTAGTTTTGCATCTTTTCTCCTTCCTTCTGCCCTTCTCCTCCATTGTTGTCTATATAAAGTACACTAAACGCTTCACCAGTCACCTGTGCCTGCCTTCACAAAACGCCTCACCATTAACAGAGGAGGGGATGGGAGGAGGGAATGGGCAGAAATCCAAGACAGCTCGGGAGAGAAACCTGGAGAAGCTTCAGAAGGCCGCTAATAAGGGTACACGTTACAACCAACTCTCTCTTACGCTTCAGTATATAGCTTCCTAGCTACTAGTTCAGTTGTCCGCCAAATCTATTGACATGCAAATTCTCTGTATATTGTGGTGGCGCTCGGGTGAAGGAAGCCAGCTTCAGTCCAACAAGAAGGCCATGACCATCCAGGTATCCTTGCCTATTAGCTTGGTGTTCTTACTGCTGGCTTTCATACCGCTTTCTTTTTGCTGCCATTGATAGGTTTTGGTTTGTTGTTTCTGCCGGGACGGTGGCGGCGGTGGGGATTTTACAGTGCAAAGTGTGCATGCAGACGTTTATATGCACGACGTCGGAGGCCAAGTGTCGGGAGCATGCTGAAGCAAAGCATCCTAAGTCTGACGTCTACACTTGTTTCCCCCATCTCTCTTCCAAGTAATGGATGGAACCTGCAAGTTGAAAATACTTGGAGAGAGAGAGAGAGAGAGATTAGCTTATCTATTAGCATGTATGATCAGTTTGTCCACCGATGAAACATGAATGAAGCAGATGTTTATTGGCCACTGCGAAAATAAAAATGTCCACCCATCTACTCTCCCGTTGTTTCTCAAGGAAAAGAACAGCAGATTGCAGCTGGTGGAGAGAAAAAAGATGACCTTTAGACTGGACGGTGGCTCGAATCCAACTTTTGCCATGAGATAAGGATCAATGACTGAGTTGGTAACCTTTTTGGTTGAAAGGCAGAAACTTTAACCATTATAGGTGAGATAGATAGGGGTTTACAACAAGTTGGTAGGCTTTATCAAAGTATATATGCTTTTGATTGATCCACAATTTTTACTTAAAAGACAGAAGCAAGCAAGCACAAGATTCCCCAGAAACTGAAGAAAAAGCCGTTCATGAATCTAGACTCAAACAAAGGCTTCAGTTCATGCGCTGGTAATCATTGCTTTTTGTACAATGGAACAAGGATCGGCATCAAGTTGCTAGAAAAGAACAAGGGCAGGGGGGGAGCCTGAGGTTGATGGGTCTGGCCTCCTCTGCAACTTATTGTGTCCGCATTCGGCTGTTCTCTGCTGCTCTCACTTGATGGAAATAGGGATGAGCCTGGAAATGGAAAGGGCAATTCAAACTTATAAAAAGGTATAAACTGGAAACAATACTAGTATCCAAAAAGAGTGGGGAGAAATTAGCTGAGCTTAGTTCTGGATTAATGACAGTCTGATATACCATTGCTTCCTTTGCTGTAACCCTGTCTTGATGGTCATAGCGAAGCAGCTTTTCAAGGAAATCAATGGCCTGTTCATGGGAAAGACGAGTCTGTGCATGAAGTATTAACCAGCAACACAAGTAGGATGATGATTGATAGAAGTTTAAAATTTTGAAGAAAAGAGTTGGAAAAATATCCGCCATCTGAAGACCCAAGGGGCAATTATAAGACTTACCTCCGGAGAAATCAAATGTTGGTTATTAGGATTGATAAATTTGGACCACGGTTTCCTGCTGTGCCTGCAAAGGTTTGGGAATCGAAATGAAATTACATGATCCAATCGTTATTCAGCAGAACTCTGTAGTAATCAACCCTTACGCAATTCTTATCATTTCATGCTTGTAAGAAAACAAACGGGGTATGAAAGACTGTGGTTGTATTTACTTCCCAAGATCCACGGTGCTATGTAACAAAAGGATTATCATCTTACATCAAATCTATCTAGTAGCTAATATTTGGCCTTATAAGTACATAAAATAAACTATTTTTTAACAAAAGCGTGACTACCTGCCAACAAGGGTTTCAAGTTGGGGATCCAGCTCCAAGTTATACTTGTTTAAATATGCATATAATTCATCTGTACCAAGAACCTGAAGAAAAAAATGCAGATAAGGGAACAGGTAAGGTCAAATGCATTTTCTGCCTTTCTGCAAACAGACTGTGCTGAATAGAACTCTTATTATTTTGCAAGAGGTTCTTAACACTGCTCCACCAAAGGTTTGCAAAAGACACCGTGGGACGTTTGGCTTCTGGATTTTAGCAGCTTCAAGAAAACAAATAAACAGCTTCTGGGACCAATAACAATATTTCTGCATAGCTTTAAGGAAATCCAATGCTGAAGCATATATGACATAGGTGTCACTATTTGAAACAAACACAAAAATGCAACTTGACTGCTCACTTGGTTCACACATGTCATGGGAAGCCCTAAATTCCAAATTCCATAGCTTTGACAATCCAAATTTACTACCTTTCACCAGTTATATAAAAGTTAACAAAAGAACCATATGGCAGTACATAACTGTTAGATCACATTGCTAAATCATGTTTACCTTAGCAATTTTTACAAGCTGGTCGTGGTTGTCGCGACCATAAAAAAATGTTTCCTTCCTAAAAATCTGCATGCCGAGAAGACAATGCAAAGATTAGGTAAGTTGTCATGACTACTAAAAACACTAGGAATGTTGGCTCTAGCGCTATCAAAATTTTGTGGGATGGAGGAGCAAGGGGAGATTCAACAGAATTCTCACCATGCCTGCAAACATACAGCCTAGACTCCACATGTCAAACCCTCCAATGGTGCCCAAAAATTTTGAGATCAAGCCGGCCCTCGTGACAATGATTCAGAACAATGTTTTGTTCCTTTGGCTCACAAGTGAATCGTCGAGGGAACACATGCAACATATTCTTGAGCTCGTGGGGAGTTTGAAGATTAATGGTGTGTCGTTGGAAGCTTTGCAACTAAGGCTTTTCCCTTACTCACTTGCGGGGAAGGCACTTAGATGGCTCAACAACCGGCCACCTCGTTCGATTACCTCATTGGATGATCTTCTCAACAAATTTATGACCCGTTATTGCCCGCCTTCAAAGACGACCGAGTGGAGAAAGAAGATCATCCATTTCGAGCAAGATGAAGATGAAACCTTGAGGGATGCTTGAGAGAGATTCTCCGATTATTTTCTTCAATGCCCTCACCACGGGTTCCAAGAACAATTCCGGATTGAAACTTTCTACGGAGGGCTCATACATGAAGACAAAATCCTCATTGATTCACTTTGTCAAGGGAGGCTAATGAATATGACCCCTCCACAAGTGACCCAATTGCTAGAGGATATGGCCATCAAGGAGTATGATTGGGGTTTGACAAGAAGCGAGAAAAGGAGCAATGAAAGAGGAGTAAGAAGTGTGGGAGCGAGTGCTCCACTTGAGGCAAAACTCAATAAGTTGATCGAGGTAATTCTCGAGGATAAGAAGCACGGGAAGAGAGCGGTGATGTCGTGCGATTGGTGTTCAAGCATGAACCATGAGTTGGCAGATTGTCAAGCAATGAAGGAAGCAAGCACTCTGGAGGAACAAGTCAACTTCGTTGCTAATGCTAAGGGGAACGACCCGTATAGCAATACCTATAACCCCGGGTGGAGAAATCATCCCAACTTTGCTTGGTCGTCCCGGACTAATCCGCGACCACCCGGTTTCCAAGGCCCTACGGGAAATTACCAACCTCGGCCAACCTTCATTCAACAAAGGCCTCAATTTCAAGGCTTGAACTTCCAACAACCTTACCAAGTGCAAGGTGGACAAGGTTTTCAACAACAACCCGACAAGCTATCCAAACTTGAAGGCGGGACTCCAAAGTCATCAAGCAAGCCTTCAAAACTTGGAGGTGCAAATCGGCAATCTTGTCGGGATCCTCACCGAGAGACCTAAGGGAGCCCTACCCTCTCAAACCATTGCCAACCCCAAAGATCAAGTCGGGTACAATGCAATTTACTTGAGGAGCGGGTAGGTGACTCCGGGAGTTGTTGCTAAGGAAGTGATTGAGACAGAAGACGCCAACCCCAAGGATGGAGATGAAGAACTCTCGAAGGGAGAGAAAGAAGTGGCAAAGAATGCATCGCCAACGCCATCTCCGATGGTTGAGTACAAGCCACCTCTTCTTTACCCCACAAGGGTGTACAATGAGAGGTTGGAAGCGGAATGTGGGGGCTTCATGGAGATGCTCCGAAATCCCCACCTCAATATCCCCTTCCTCGAAGCTATGGATAACATGCCAAGGTACGCAAAGTAACTCAAAGGATTCCTCACCAAGAAACCAAAGTTTGAAGGCCTCGCCAATGTGACTCTTGGAGAGGAGTTTTCGGCTTTCCTCCTCAACCGCTTGCCCAAAAAGCGGTCCGACCCAGGTAGCTTTACTATCCCTCTTGGTATTGGTAACCATCATATAGAAAATGTCTTGGCGAATCTAGGAGCTAGTGTTAATGTGATGCCCTATAAGCCTTTCAAAAACTTAGAAGTAGGTGAACTTAAGAACACTAGGTTTAGTATCACTTTAGCCGACCATTCGGTCATTAGCCCAAGAGGCATTGTGGGGTACATGTTGGTACGAGTAGGCAATTTTTGCTATTCGACTGATTTCGTGATTCTCGATATAAGTGAGGACTCGGATATGCCACTCATACTCGGTCGTCCCTTCCTCGCCACCGCGAAGGAGTTGATAGATGTTAATGAGCAATGCTGTCAAAAGTGCGCTTTAAAACTTAAAAGCTTACGCTTTTACCTTTTTGGGTCACCAAAACGCTTCTACATAGAATCGTGATTTTCCCTTACAAATGTAGTCAAAATCTACGTATTAAAACTTAAAACCTTACGGTTTTACACTTCTAAGTCATTGACACGCCAAAACACAACACCAACCTGCGACCAAGTGTAATCGCAGTCCGGGAATGCAGTAACAGGCAAGTTCTATTATCAACCCGGGGTCTAGATCTACTGCTTACTCCGTGATTGTCTATTATCCAGCAAACTAATTTGAGTGATTGTTGTTTAAAGCAAAAGCAGTAAGAAAGCAGGAAATGGTTCGGTTTTCTAAAGCAGGTAAGAGTCACTCGGGAATGAGTCCCCCTAGCCCCTTAGTTAGGTTCAATTGTAATTCCCCTGGGTTGATTCACTGTTGATTAGACTGCGGAAGATCCGACAGTAGCTTGGAATCTCTTAAGCTGACCAAGCCCTCTCAGTCTAGCTATCCGGCAGACGACTAGTCTTCACCGGGATAGAGAGCTGAAGCAATAAGCACAGAACTCCACTACTGGAATTGAATTCCCGTACAAAGCAGTAAACTGGCTAACTCTCGTATAGCCAATCTCCTACTATCGAATAAAGAGGCTCTAACAACCTAATCAGATTCTATCTATCTCAGGTTGCAGCGGAAATCAAGAAAAGCTGATCAGACTTCAATCAATTCAATAAACATGCATCATTCGATTAAAATCAAACAGTATCATCATCCCAAGTCATTACAATCAAATCCCTAACACAAGGAACTAGGGTTCTTCATACCCAAGTGAGAGAAAGGTTCTACTCCATAGAGAGAGAGAGGAAAACAGAAATCAGAGTAGTCATACTCATAAAGATGAGGAAAATCTGCTCTGGGATGTCAATCTTCACTCCTGAGGAGGCAATCTGGGCTTCAATGGTGAGAAATCCACTCCAAAATAGCTCCTAGGGTTTGTTCTTCGCTCTTTCTCTCTCTAAAACTCTGTTTTTGCTCCAGAAACTCGAACCCCTCTTCCTTGGCTCGAATCTGCCTCCAAAAACCCGACTATGGGCGAATTACGGGCAGGATTACGACCGTAATCACGTCCTGCCCGTAATTCTCCCCAAAACGCACGTTTCAATTAAACTGAAGGAGGAGGAGATACGCCCGTAATTTTTAAATTACCGCCAGTATTTTAGGAATTACGGTCGTAATTCTTGGGAGTCTTGCCCGTAATTTTAGCATCGAGAAGAAATTCTGGGGAAAAGGCTCGGCAATTGTTTTACGGGCATGCCCTGACCAATTACGGTCGTAATTTGTCAGGGGCTTCCCGTAATTCCTTCTGTGATTCGCCATCTGACCTCCAAATGACCCGAAACTTGCGCCTATGCACCTCTTTACTTGCTAGGACCTGAAATACGACAAAACAACACAACCTAGCGTAAAATAGGCCAAGGAACAATCAATTCGAGCCAAAATGGATAGGAAACCAGAGTGAAAACACGTGCAAATACGATGCTATCAAATTCCCCCACACTTAACTGTTTGCTTGTCCCCAAGCAAACCAAGTAATACACAAGGTAAGCTCACATATTTGAGTCAACCAACATTGGGGACAAGTCATAAAGGCACAGAACACGTGAATCATACTGGTTTTCAAACATCAACACATGAACAACTTCAATAGCAACCTGGACAACCACCACAAAGGACATTCGAGTGCAGCAAAATCGAGCAACGGAAGAGTTTCCCTTCTGTTCACCAACCAACCCAGACTTTACTCAACCACTCACTCAAAACAGTCAACTCATGCATCCAACTCAAGACATCAGAACAGAGACCGAGCAATCTAGGTCCTCACCGGGGTACAAGAGTATAAAGAATATGAAAATGAATCACTCACTCTCGACCAGTGGGGTCAGGACAATTTGATGCGAAAAATGCGCATGTTATTTCTCTCAATCCCTATCATCTCTTCACCATGATGGCAGCCTCTAAATGCTAGAGTTCACATATGGGGTGTCACCACTAACTAATCAGGAGGTCTTAGACACAGGTTCAAATGACTGGCTAGGGTCTTGGACATGGGGAAAAGGCCTTTTAAGTGGTGGAAGTATTCATAGCACAAGGTTCCACATTTCCAAACCCACACAATCACAGTCAAACAAACCGGTATTCCCTCTCTGCTATTCTGCAATACTCAACATCTCAAGAGCACAAGAGCGAAGGAGGTATAAATATCAGCATTTCCAAGCCAGACTGCTAAGAAACACTACTTAATGGGCATTATTCAGATTTTTGGTAGTGGCTCTCTTTTGCTTTCAATTTTTCTTTGTTTTACTTTCATTTTTCTTTTCATTTCTTAAGAGAGCCACCACTTCTGCACATATTTCAAACATCTGCCCAACTTTTACGCACTACCTCCAACACTCACATAAAATTTAGCAGAAACAGCAGAGAATATGTAACAACCACTCTGTGGAACCTTCTAAAAGATGCAACAAGGGTATTTTTTTCGTTATAGACCAAAAGAAAGGATAACACACGGCTCAAAGGGGCTGACTAGGGGATATGACACATCAGGACAGTCAGTTTGGTCGTGGGCTAATCCTATGCCCTCATCATCTTAGCTAGTGACAACGTGAATGCTACACATCATGGAAGAGGGATCTATCGCACAAAAAAGAAACGAGCAGGCTCAAATCTCACATGGCTACCTATATGCTCTATCTCACATTCTGATACCCTGAACTAGATGCATAAACGACTGTCAAGAACAAGTGATCAGATCAAGTCACAGTTGGTAAGCAAACAGTTGAAAAACTGAACCCCTACATCGTTCTACTGCACATCTCAGCCCTCATCATAGGTTGTCCTAGTCAGCAACAAGTTGTCATGCATTCATCCGAAAACCGTTCAATTCATCAATCAAAACACAGTGCCAATATGATCAAACAGCAGTACTTGGAGCCCTCAAATCGTAAGATTCGGACAGCGGACTAGGCTCCAAGCACCCATATA